CTCACTCATGGAAGCAGCAGTCAAGAAATCAAACGACTTATTGCATTATGCAAATCTGTTGCACAAGACGTTTTTAAAGTGTTGAAGAGCAAAGATGTCAACTTGAGGACTAAGGTGTGCCTGACCCAAGCCATGGTATTTTCAATAACCTCATATGCATGTGAAAGCTGGACAGTGAATAAGGAAAACCGTAGAAGAATTGATGTTTTTGGGTTATGGTGTTGGAGGAGAATATTGAAAGTGTCATGGGCTGCCAAAAGAACCAGTAAAGAAGAAGTGCAGTCAGAGTGCTCCCTGGAGGTGAAGATGGCCAAACTTCGTAACTCATACTCCAGACATATTGTCAGGAGGGACCAGTCACTGAAAAAGGATATCATGTTTGGTAAGGTGGAGGGTCAGAGAAAAAGAGGAAGATCCCCAATGAGATGGATTGGCCAAGTGGCAGCATTGATGGACTCAAGGGTGGCAAAAGTAGTGAGGTTGGCCCAGGATCAGGCATTGTTTTGTTCTGCTGTGCATAAAGTCGCTGTGGGTTGGTACCGACTCGATGGCACGTAACAACAACAACAACATAGTCATATGTTCCACCACTTGGCTGTCAGTTTGTCATACTGTGGTGGCTTGTGAGTTACTGTGATTCTGAAAGCTATGCCACGGGTATTTCAAATACCAGGAGGGTCACCCAGGGTGGCCAGGTTTCAGATAAGCTTCCAGACAGAGACAGACTAGGAAGAAGGAGTGATGAACTACTTCTGAATATTTAGTCACTGAAAACCTTATGAATAGCAGAGAAACACTGTCAGATATAGTGTCTGAAAATGAGCCTCTCAGGTTGGAAGATACTCAAAATGTGACTAGGGAAGAGCTGCCTCCTCAAAGTAGAGTTGACAATGATGACGTGAATTGAGTAAATGCACAAAGAATGACTTACAACATTAAAATAGTCCTGGTTAAAAAATATTAACATTTTCATCAGTATTTAAGTATCTTGTATACATAAAATCTGGTAGCATAGTGGTTACGAATCAGACTACAAACCGCAAGGTCAGCAATTTGAAACTACCAGCTGCTCCGGGGGAGAAAGATGAGGCTTTCTGCTCCCGTAAAGATTTACAGCCTCAGAAACCCTGTTCAGGGTTGCTATGGGTTAGAACCGACTCGACAGCACTTAACAACAACATACATAAAATTATTTTATTCAGTTACATATCACATAGAGTTTACCAGTTAAGTCGTTCTTGCTTTACATCTCCCCCCAGAAAAAGAACAATCTAAAAATGCTGAGAGTTGTATCTTTTTCAATATGCCTTATAAATATGTCACCTAAGTATTAATCACTTAGTAGCTTTCATGTGTTGGATTTCATTCTAAATAATTCACATAAAAGTATTCTCCAGTTGCATAAGATAACCAAATCTTCACCAGTCTGAGGAACATACCCATGGCTGAAGTTGAAACTATGTAAACAAGAGACCTAGAATCCTAATTATAATTCAGCATAGTGCCACATCTCCTAGGACAAAAAAGCAAGGAGCATGAGACAAGACATCTTGAACAGGAGTACCCTTATGAAAATCTTATTTCTAAGTTTGCCTTTCTATGGTTTTCAAAGTTTAGTAGGTAACTCTTGGCTAAGTATTTTAGAAAACCATGTGGACAAATACACATATGATATTCCAATATGCAAATATGTTAATACAATTTTATTGAAGTTTTATGCATATTCATCATTTAGTCCTCACAAAAATCCTGCCTGAAAGACTTATTATATAAATAAAAATTTATTCTGAGCAATCAAGTAACTTGCCTATAGCAACACAAAAACCTGAGTTCCTTGAACAGAGGTTAGCATTGATCAAGTAATAATAAAAACAAAAATAAATCACTGAATTACTTATGATAGGATTTTCAGAGATCAGTAATAGCCTTATTGTTGTTGTTGTTAAATCCCTCGAGTTGGTTCTAACTCATAGTGACCCTTTATTGGGTTTCCAAGGAGCAGCCAGTGAACTTGAACCACAAACCTGGCAGTTCAAATCGACCTTGCAATCCAGCACATTAACCCAAGGCACCACAACAGGACTCCAGTAACAGTCTAGTGGGGTCATTCTCTGTGCACTGAAAGGTGGCAAAGTCAGGAGGAATCAAAAGCCAAGGCCAGTGTTTTTCTCATTGTAGACTGCCTCTTGTACCTACATGTATAACCCACCCTGAGGACCCAGGCCTGACTGTGTGTGGAGCATGATTCATCTGACCAGTCCAAATGGTCTGAGGTTCTGATGGTTTTAAACATTAATAAGGAGCTCTGGTAGCGTAGTGGTTACGAATCAGGCTGCGAACCTTAAGGTTAGCGGTTCGAAACTATCAGCCACTCCACGGGAGAAAGATGTGGCTTTCTGCTCCTGTAAAGATTTACACCCTTGGAAACCCTGTACAGGGTCGCAACCGACTCGATGGCACTTAACAACAACAACAACAACAAACTCCTACATTACAACCTGTGACATGAGAGATAGTGTACGTCTCATTTTTATTTGGAAGAATCTTGAATAATGACAGAATATTTGCCATTTGACTGACAAAACATTTCTTCAAAAAAAATTTTTTTAATCAATTCAGTAGAGCATAAGAAAAGAAAAAATACATTTTTAAATGCAATACCATTTTTATTGAGACTATTTCAATAGTTTAGAACCGTTAGCCAATGAAACTAATCTTATAAACCATTTTGGCTCAAAAATATACAGAGACACTGCATTTGTAATTTAATTGGCTCTGTATGAAATCATATTTTTTTTTTATCTTAATTTTTAAAACATGATCTGAAGACAGATGTAAAGAGGCATCCCATATCTCCCTACCTTTTTGAACAAGAAAAATGTGGCAGAAAATTTGGCAAAAATTTTGTGTCAAGGCAGTCATGGGCCAAGTTTCTTAGTAAATTTTAACTCACTAGTTTTTTTTTTTTCCTGAAAGTATTTTCAGACCTTTAATCCTGCACTAGTACCAACTTTTTGCTCAATCCAGATTTATATTCTTAGCTGATTAAATTTCAAAGTGCCAACCAGACCTTACCACAAGAATATTGTTTTGAGCATGGTTTACAATACAGAAATGCCAGCATCTTCATGCTCCATTTTTAACCAAATCAAACTTCCTGCTGTTTATGGTCAACTAATCCAATAATTATATCTTAGCCAAAAAAGCCAAGTGACCTTAGGTTCTCTAATGAAATCACAGAAAAGAGTAACCAAACGTAATAGCAAAATTAATTCCATTTTAAAATCTTTTATTCCTGTGAAATCTGCAGGTCTGAATTGCTCTGAAATTCTGTGGTGACGCTGTAGGATAAGCACTGAACTGAAATGTCCGTTTGAATCGCAAGGCAGTTCAAACTCACCAGATGCTCATCAGGAACCCTATACAGGGTCAGAGTGCAAACTCAAACAAGGCTACTTAACCACAACCACAACCCAAAAGCTGGAGTCCTGGTGTGGCACTGTAGGATACACACTGGACCGCAAGGTCGTTTGGGCAGCAAGTCTTTGAATTGAACTCACCACTCACTCCTCAAAACCCTATATAGGGTCATTATGTGTTGGAACCCATTTTACAGTACTTAACAATAACAACCCAAAGCTACTTTCAATGCACCACCAGTGGCTCCTTTGAAACCCTATACAAGGTCGCTATGGGTCGGAACCAACTTGATGGCACTTAACAAAAATTCTCACTCACAGACCACCTCATCTGTGTCTCTCTGCATAGAATTGCTTGGTACACAACTCTGAGGGTTCCATTAACATCAAAAAAGTCATAGATGTGAATATTTATCATCACAATTTTTGGTAAATGGCAGTTAAATGTGGATTTTTAAAAATTTAGTTCATTATGATCATTTTCCAACAGAAAAAATGACCCACACCAAACAATATTAGCATAAAGTGACCCTGCTAGAAGCCAGTTTAGTTCAGATAAATCAGTCTAATTTATCATTTGATGTTGTTGTGAAGTGCCGTCAAGTCGGTTCCAACCCATAGCAACCCTGTATAGGGTTTCCAAGGAGCAGCTGGTAAGCTTGAACCACCAACTTGGTAATTCAAACGGCTTTGCAGTCTGGCGCATTAACCCATACCACCACACCAGGACTCCAAATAGTATACTCAATAATGGGAAGACAATCTTAAGTTTTCTATGGAAAAATGAAATACCATAGAGATGGAGGAAAGGTAGAAAAGGGACCCTATACATCTCCTTAAAATGCAACTTAAGCCAATTTTGCCTACATTTTTGCAATATTAAATCCATTGTTATCAGTTTTCTCACTGTTTATTTACATACTAAAGAAAAAATATCATAGAGATATGGTTTCTGCAAAGATTGGTTTTTAACTGGGGAAAATAAATTCCAAAATATATCGAATAAATAAATGAAAACTACAAAGAAGTTCTCTAATTCCATCAGTAGTCAGAAAGAGAAGAAAGGAAGTTAAGGAAGAGGGAATAGAGAAATAAAAAGTAGGATGGAGGGCAGGGAGGAAAAAGGAAAATAAATAAAAGGAAGACAAAAATAGTAAAAGAGAAAAGTCATAGAAAGAAGAAAGATATAGAAGACACATAGCAAGAAAGGAAAAATGACAAGATAAAGATGAAGGCACTGTAAATTCTCAGATGAGTGATGATTGTGAAGAATAAATTGATTTTTCTCTGCTTTAATGTTTTTCTTGGCTTATGAGTGTGGCACTGTAGGATAAGTATTGGACCTCAAGGTCAGTTTGAATCACACTGGCAGTTAAACCACTTGCTATGAGTCAGTAGCTATGAGTCAGAACCAATTCTCAGGTAGTTCACAGAAACAGCAACTGTGGCAGACTAAATGTATATCAACCATTCATCATAGTTCTTCAAATATTCAACATCCCAGCTCCCAGGACTTTTCAAGATTCCTTTTCAGCAATTCAACAGAGAGGTATTGTTCACAGTGCAAGGTGACCAAGGTGACTTAGCTAAATAATATTCAGACATGCCAAAAAGCTAACAGTAAATTGTTTTCCCTGAACAGCCTGGTGGCTTTTGATAATTTATGGACAGATATAGACAGACAAAAGACAGGATGGTTGACTGATCTTCCATGGGAAACTATACTCAGGGGAAATGTGTTCAATGGGAAGTAAAATGAAAGCACACTACAATTAGCTATGGCAAAAATAATCCACTAGGTGTCATAAGACATTAATCAATAAATAATACATGGGTCTACTATCCAGCAACACCTTGGTAAGGTACCTAAATTGCTTTAATCAGTGTATGATTTCTCAGAGTTTCTGAAGGGACCAGTTTGAATATGAAAAGAATAACCTTCATGATTGCCTCACAAACTATAAAGTTAGCCTGAATGCCCCAGCCACTCCAGATACATACACACATCCATATTCTCTTCTAGTGACAATTTATCTCATTCTCCACAGTGCTCCTATATACCTAAGTGTGGAAAAAACTTTGAAGAATCCATGTCCCTGGTCAACGTTGTCATGGAAAACTTCAGGAAATACCAACACTTCTCCTGCTATTCGGACCCGGAAGGAATCCAGAAGAGCGTCATCCTAACCAAACTCTACAGTTCCAACGTGCTGTTCCATTCACTCTTCTGGCCAACGTGTATGATGGCTGGGGGCGTGGCGATCGTCGCCATGGTGAAACTCACACAGTATCTCTCCCTGCTCTGTGAGAGGATCCAACGGATCAATAGATAAAAGCAAAAGTGGATGAGATAATTTTTATTTAAAGCTCAAATACTGTTTCTTTCATTCTTCACCAAAGAACCTTAAGTTTGTAATGTGCAGTCTATTATGAGTCCCTTAATATATTCTTATACGTAGAGCAATAATGCAGAAGCTGTTGTATATGCAAACATGATGTCTTTATTATTCAGGAAAAGAAATAATTGTTTTGTGTTGGTTGGTTGTTTTCATCATTTTGTTTCAATGCTGGAATTAGTACTTCCTTTTCCCATTCAGCCAAAATAGGGCTCAGCAATTCATCTGCCAAGCTTTGTGAAAGAATGTAGACAATACCAACGTGATAAGATCTGTGTTCTGAGTTGTCAGCTCTCTTAAGGACATTTTTGCAATATTTTTCATCATTCATTGTTTACTAAAGCTGCAGCCAAAAAGATAGTTTTTCTTTCCTTATTCTAAACTGAGCCCTATAGCAAGTAAAGGGACCAGATTTCCTAACTGAAGGGTGTTAAGCATTTTCCTTGTATTTTTACCATATCACTGTAAAGAAGGGGGAAAACCAAGCCAGCTACTTTTTTCTTTTATCACTTTTTACTCATAACTGTGGATTTTTTAACTGGTTTCCAAAAAATAAGCTGTTTTCATTAGCCAATTCTATAATCTCTTCCTTGTGGAATAAACTGAAAATAAACAGAGCTCTTTTCCATTTAAGACCCTGCTACTGTGTGAGGAGATGACATTCATAAGAGTTTCATTACGTATGAGCCGACTGTTGTGGATGCTCCAGTACAATCCAGAAAAGTCTATGTTGCTAAGACATTTGTATGAAAACCCTTATTCCATTTCAACTGTTAGATGATGAAATCAAGATCCTACTTGCTGGTCAAGGTTTGTGGACTGTTTTTAAATGAGTAAATCTCTTGTGACAAATTAACATGTTAGAATATTGCTCTTCGGGAATTTATGTTTAAGCTAATGAATGTGTAGTCTCTCCTTTGACCCTATCAGGATTTTAAAGCTATGTTCACAGAATATTTGTCTCTTCTACATGTTTTATTTTTCTATTTACAATTTGCCTTTTTGTTGTTATATTTTATATACATAGTACAATTCTTTTTCCTAACACACATTTGAACTGAATTAACAGACTTAAAGGAGACATTTGTTCACATTGCAATTTACTTATTATTTAGTAGAGGGAAATGAGAGTCTCCTGAAAACAAAACATTCCATCCTTTGTTTCATATCAACACCCAAAAGAAAAGACGAACATTTATCTTTCTCTTCTGTGTCTAAATACCTTTTTGTAATGTAGTATCAACATCTTTTTAGGTATTGTAAAATTTTACAAATCTTACTTGTGGAAATAATGGTAAAACTAGTCTGATGAAGTAGAAATTAATCTGCAATATTGTAATTCATAGTATAACTTTTCATACTCAAATAAACCCCTAGGGTGTAATCAGGACTTCAAATGTGTAATTAAAATTAAAATTAAAAGGGGGGAAAGGAAACAACAAATGAAATCAGCAAGGTTTGAATATCTCTTGCATTCTAAATTGGCAAACTCATTTAAATCCCAAAACCTATGATTAACTATCCTTAAAGATATTTTAAGAGATAACAAAGCAAGTAAGTTTCTTTATCTTTTTACATATATATACATAAATACATGCATCTTCATATATATATACATGCATAAATTCATGAGCCTCAGGTGTGGTGCTGTAGGTTAATCACTGGACTGCTTACCTGAAAGGTTGGCAGTTCAAACCCACCAGCCCTTCTCAGAAACCCCATAAAAGGTTGTTATGAATTGGAATCGACTTGATGGCACCTAACAACCACACAATATTGTGAACATTTTTAAAATACTGTGGAAAATTCTTCATTGCTACTATAATCTAAAGACATAATTCTGGTGTAATAGAGAAATCTTTGTGACTATGGAGCTGAAAATTTTAAATCTTTAATGTTCCTTGATCTTCCCTTCCAACATATTTCAACCAAGGGCGAAACATATATGAGCAAAATTATAAGATGAGTTGTTTGAGTAAATTTTAATTTTAATTTCCTGAAAGGTGTTTCAGATAAGACTATAAAGATTTTAAAGTAATGACATCAAAAAGAAGTTAAATAGAGTATCTTCTTGAATCCCAGCAAAACAGCAATCCCTTTGAACGATTTAATGTGATGGTGGTATGCCTTGGAGTCTTTCTGACTCATAGCGACCCAGTACAGGATTTCTGAGGCTGTAAATCTTTACGGGAGCAGAAAGAGTCATTTTTCTCCCGCGGAAAGGCTGGCCATTTCTAACTGCAGACCTTGAGGTTAGCAGCCCGACTCATAACCACTAAGCTACCAGAGTTCCTTGTATACACAATGAAAATATTCTTCATTTAATCAGAAATATTTTGCAATAACAATGTTTAAAATGTTATTATATACAATCCTTATAATAAATTGTGAGAGTCCTGCTGTTATGCTGTAGGATAAGTACTGGACTGCTAACTACAATGTCAGTAATTCAAACTTGCTTACCAATTGCTCAATGAGAGAAAGATGAGGCTTACTGCTCCCATGAAGATTTACTGCCTTGGAAACCTGTAGAGGGAGGGTCCAGTATGAGTTAGAACAACTCAAAGGCAACCGAGAACAACAGCTTGCTCATCATGGTGAGCATTTCCTAAACTCTGTATCTTTTAGATAATAAAACGGATGCTGAGGATTTAAAGGGGTTATATGGTAATGAAGAAAAACCATTGACCTGGAAGACTTCCATTCAAATCTTGGTGGGCAGGTGACTTTAGGCTTCTCAATTAATCTCTTCTTTGAGATTAATAGGAAGAAGGTTCCTATTAGCATTCTACATGGTAGGAAAACGCAAACAATCAAGCCCACTGCCATCAAGTCAAGGAAGGAAGACTAAATACTATCCTGTACCCTTAAGATTACATGTCTGGTTCTCAAAAAGAATCTGCATTTATTAATCCATGATTCAACAGTCACCCTACTGATATTCCCAAAATGCCATATGCCTCCTCATTAGGGTCAAAGTTTTTATTTACATCAGCCAGAAGTAGAACTCTGAGTCTCCATTTTATTCAACTAGGATGACTTTGCCTATATGGAATAATCATCTGCACTTCCAAATCACTTTCATTATCCAGTGACCCAAACCCAGTATTCCTTATACTAAGTTGAAATACCATCAGAAACTTTATTGATTTCAGATTCCCCAAGTTGCTATTATATTAAAACTCTGAAAATGGTAAATATACCACCAACTACTTTCAAGTAGCTAGAATAAAAATACATTATTCTGTAGAACACCTCTGGTCAAATGGCTGATCATGATTGGGTAAGCAGTCTTAACGTGACCCTTATGTAGAACATGTGATAATTAGGGTTCCATCCTGTTACCTTCTTTTCCCATTGCTGTGAATGACCGAAAAAACTGATCATTATTGTTGTTGTTAAGTGCCGTCGAGTTGGCTCCAACCCATAGTGTCCCTGTAAAGGGTCTCCAAGGAGCAGCTGGTGAACTTAAACCACCCACCTTGCAGTTCAACCTGACTTTGCAGTCCAGCTCATTTAACCCACAGCATCTACACCAGGACTCCAAAAAGTGATTATACATGACATTTTATACAACAAATAGTATTTTCTCTATGTCACACCACAAACTAATCCCTGCAGCCAAAACACCTTAACATTGCAATTATCCTATTGGCATTAACAGAGAGAGATGTCAGACAGTAAAATAACATGAGTGAGTTAAAGTAGTTTTAAAGAGGTGATTTATTGTATTACTGGCATATTACCTGTCTAGCCCAAACATGTGACACTGCCTTCCCCTCAAGAATGAGTGCATTATCTAACAGAAGGGTGGAGACAACACACATGGAAAAAGTATGAAACAACAATTAGGTCTCTAATGCTCCTGAACAGAGATAAATCTACCTCAGAGGGACGATATGACACTTTATTGTGACATATATGTAAAAATCCTACCAGTATATAGCATATAATAGATGCTCAGCAAATAGTATTGCTACTAATAGTAAAATGTAGACGCATATTAATAGTATTAGCATCACCATTAGTAGTATAAAGTCTCTTGGAACTAAAAAAAGGTATAAAATGTCACTTTGCCCCAAATTCACATCAATGCATACTTAGTACCAATCACGTATAATAAAGATGGTCACTATTTAAATCCTGCCAGTAATTGGAGCTCTGGTAGTGTAGTGGTCACAAATCTGGCTGTTAATCTCAAAGGTCAGCAGTTCAAGACTACCAGCGGTTCCATGGAAGAAAGATGAGGCTTTCTGCTCCTGTAAAGATTTACAGCCTCAGAAACTCTGTACAGGGTCGCTATGAGTCCAAACCGACTCACTCAGCACATCACCACCACCAGTAATTGGATTATTGTTGTTAAGTGTCATCCAGTCAGTTCAGGCTCATAGGGACCTTGTGTAGGGTGTCTAAGGAATGGCTGATGAGTTTAAACCACCAACTTGCGACTAGGAAATGTTCATTACAACTTAAAATCTGCCTCTCTGTAATATCTACCCACTAAATCTACACAAAATCAAAGCAATACTGTAACTTATTCTATTTTAGTGTTCTTTTATTCATAAAATGGTGAGGGAAATGGGAAAGATAAAATTCTATTTGTTTGGAATACAAAACCATGGAAAAGAACCCATTCAACCAGAATTTGGAAGGCAGTAAAAATGACATCAACCCTAAAATATTAAGAATATACCCATGAGAACCTAAATATTCATGGATGAAATAAATTGATAAGCTAACCAAATCCTCCAAATTATAATGTGAATTTTAACCTGGCAATATCTCAATGTGGATTTGCTCTCTGAAATATGACTCTGAAATTATATATGATGTTCTTATTCAACATTATGAGAGCAAGGCATGGATATGTTTCAAAACATTGCTACAATTGTGCTATGAATTTGTCTTAAGTAACATTCTCCAGTGCAATACCAAGGAATTAGAAAGAAAAGCCACTCTGTGAATTCCTATAGTAAAATTGTCATTACATAAGAGGGGATAAATCTACCCCATTGGTATAAGTTTCATATTACTTAACAAGAGAAGTAAATTCCCACCTGAATTTAGAGATCATCTGAAGAACAGATTTGATGCATTAAACACTAAAGACCAAAGACCAGAAGAGTTGTGGGATGACATCAAGAACATCATACATGAAGAGAGCAAAAAGTCATTAAGAAGACAAGAAAGAAGGAAAAGGTCAAAATGGATGTCAGAAGAGACTCTGAAACTTGCTCTCCAGCATAGAGAAGCTAAAGCAAATGGAAGACTTGAAGAGGTCCAAGAGCTGAACAGAAAATTTCAAAGATCAGCTCGAGAAGATAAAACCAAATACTATAATAAAATATGCAATGATTTAGAGTTGGATAACCAAAAGGGAAGAACACGGTCAGCATTTCTCAAGCTGGGAGAACTAAAGAAAAAATTCAAGCCTTGACTCTCGTTATTGAAAGATTCTCTGGGCAAATTATTGAATGATGCAGAGGACATCAAGAAATGATGGAAGGAATACACAGTCATTGTATCAAAAGGAAATGGTTAATGTTCAACCATTTCAAGCGGTACCATATGAACAAGAGCCAATGATACTCAGGGAGGAAGTCCAAAATTCATTGAAAGAATTGGCAAAGAACAAGGCATCAAGAATTGATGGAATAAAAATTGAACTCTTTCAAGAAAGGGAGGCAGCACAGGAGGCACTCACTCATCTCTGCCAAGAAATTTGAAAGACTACTATCTGGCCGACTGATTGGAAGAAATCCATATTTGTGCCCATTCCAAAGAGGTGACCCAACGTAATGCGGAAATCATTGGACAATCTCTTTGATATCTCAAG